CTTGAGCCACAGGCGCCGAGCCAATTTTTCTATTTTTGATAGAGAAGGGTCTTGCTCTTGCTCAGGCTGATCTCAAACTCTTGAGCTCAAGAGATTCTCTCATCAGCCTCCCAGAGTGCTAGGATTGCAGACCATGCCTGGCCAGTAAATAAAGTTTTACTGGAACACAATCACACCTGTTCATTTCTATATTTTTGCTTTCCTGTTTCCAATAGAGTTGAGTGGTTACAGCAGAGAGCAAGTTGTGTGGTTGCAGGTAGAAAAGCTGGTTTGAACCTATAGCTCTAGGAAGGTTCTAGAATCATGGATAGATGTGTGACTCATGTAGGATGTTTCAGAGCTTGGCATTTTGCCTGTGGTTCTAGATTAGAGGAGCCTGAGCTGATGGGTGTGTTCTGAATCGATAAACAGAGACACTGAATTATAGTCAGATTGGAGAATTCTAGAACCATAGAGCAAATAGAATTTATCTGCTGTTCTAGACCTTGGGGTATTCTATAACCCTGACCAGAGCTGTCTAGAAAATTCTAGTGTCATCAGAAAATTCTAGATAGAACTGCAATGGCAATACAATGTGAGCCATGTGGTTTAACTTCTGTCTGCCAGGCGCAGTGGCTCACACCTGTAATGGGTGGATTGCCTGAGATCAAGACCAGCCTGACCTAGAGACCCTGTCTCTAAAAACAGCTGGACACTGTGTTGGGTGCCTATAGTCCCAGTTACTTGGGAGGGTGAAGCAAGAGGATCACTTGAGCCTAAGAGTTTGAGGTTGCTGTGAAGTATGATGCCACAGGCACTCTACTGGGGGAGAAAAAGTGAGACTCTGTCTCAAAAAAAAAAAAAAAAAACTTTCTGTCTAATTCTAGTGTCATCAGAAAGTTCTAGATAGAACCACAATGGAGGGAGGCGCCTGTGGCTCAGTGAGTAGGGCGCCAGCCCCATATACCGAGGGTGGCAGGTTCAAACCTAGCCCCGGCCAAACTGCAACAAAAAATAGCCGGGCATTGTGGCGGGCGCCTGTAGTCCCAGCTACTTGGGAGGCTGAGGCAGAAGAATCGCCTAA